GAGCTCTGTGACGGGCGCAGAGGAGCAGCTGATCACCCATTTGCTGTACTCCAGCTGGCTCTCTCATGACAAGGAATTGTCATCCTCGGTGACCGCTGTGACTCCGCTGCTGATGTGTGCACACCCTGTTGGACAGACAAGATGCCGCACCTGAGTGCAGCTTTTAGTAATGAACGGTTGCTTGGAAACTAGGTCAGGATGGCAGCTTTCCTGCCTTTAGGTGATGGTTGCCTTGTTAATTGCAAAAAATTCCCATTTAGTTAGAAAAGAATCTATCCATTATTTCCCTTCTTCCCAGAGCTGCTAATTGGTAGGTAATCCTAAGTGTTGTGGGCTTTCATGGTATTTGCAGGGTCTTTAACAGCGTGGGACAAGATTGCATTTCTGACAAGGAACATGTGTGCTGTGAGTTAACTGATAATCTTATAAACCTGTCTACTCCGATGTGACTCTGGCTTGGTTTAGAAATAATGGTATATTCACTAGATGCTATTTAATTGACAGAAGTTATAATCTTCTTTCGATGTCAGATTTGCTTGAAATTTAAGGATAACGAAACTAACGCTTTAGAGGGAAGAACTCAGAGGATGACATGTCCATTTAGCATGAAAGCTTTTGTCTGTTTCGGTGTCTTAACACTTAGACCTGGTAAAGATCTTAGAATCAATTGGTCCGGTCATCTTATTTTACAGATGAGGAAATCTGGTCTCAGAGCGATGCATTGACTTGCCCGAGGAGATAAGGAAGGGCATAAAGATTTATATAGTACCTACTATGTCCCAGGTACTGTTCTAAGCACTTTTTACAACTGTTATCTTGTTTGATCCTTGTGAGGTACGTGCTAGTGTTATTCCCATTTTACAGTAGAAGAAACTGAGGCAAAGAGAAATAAGTGACTTATCCAGAGTCACGCAGCTAGTATGTGTTTGAGGTTGGATTTTAACTCAGGTCCTCCTGAATAGAGCTTTTTGCAAATGAGTAATTTAATACAATACTCTTACTAACTGCAATAGCACTTTTAAATCCCAGAGTAATGATATTAAAAATTCATATTTGCATAGTACAAAGGGCTTTCCTCCTAATAGTCCTGTCAAGTGTGGATAGTGAATGGGTCGTTATCCCATTTTACAGGAGAGAAATTAGAAGTAACTTGCCTAGTGCTGCATAATCCATAGCCTTTTTTCCTGCTACATCATGTTGAGGTCCCAAGTCTCTCATCTGTGGCTAAGAAGTTTCTATCTTTGATTGCTTTAGCAAAGAATTCCATTTTCTCCCTGTCACCTCCCTTAGTCAGCCTTGGTGAATTTGGCTGAAAAGATCAATACATTTTTTTTACACGTGGTATATCTGTGACTGTGAAAACTACCATTTGGTTCCCAGATGTAGCTGCGATTTGAACAATCTGACATTATTTGCCACTTCACCTTTCAGATTCTTGTTTTTCCCCTTTTTTTCCCTATATGAAGATTATTAAAAACTGAATCCTATAATCACTGGGGTGTCTGTAGGGATGCCACATCCTACTTCCACCCATTCAACTCCATTGCCATTTGCCATTCTGCAGCTTGGGGGACCTTTTCAATATTTCAAATTGTATGTCAAGTATATGTCTTGATTGCATTATGTCCAAAACAGAACTCATTATCTTTCCCTCTAGACCCTCCCTGCCTGACCCCCCTCCACTTTCTCTGTTCTTCCTCCCATCCCTCAGATTCACAACCTAGGAGTCATCCTGGACTTACTCTCTCTCACCCCCTCCCCCATATCCAAGCTGTTGCCAAGGCCTTCCAATTTCACCTTCGCAGCATCTCTCAGATATGCCCCATTCTCTCCTCTGATAGCGTCCCTACTCTGGCGCAGGCCCTCATCACCTCACGCCTATTACAGTATGACTGTTATAATAGCATGTGGTGAGGTCTGCCTGCCCCATTTCAGTCTTTCTTCCATTCAGCCACTAAAGGGATTTTCTGAAAACTCAGATCCAACCACGTCGTCCCCCTACTCGGTAAACTCCTGTGGCTCCCTATTGCCTCCAAGATCAAATACAAAATGCTCTGCTTGGCATCCCAAGTCCTTCATAACCTAGTCCCCTCCCACCTTTCCAGTCTTCTTCCACCTTACTCATCGTGAACACTTCCATCCAGTTACACCATTCTACTGGCTTTTCTATGAACACAACACTCCATCTCTCAGCTCTGGGCATTTTCTCTGGCAATCATCCACTAACTGTCTTCCCTCCAGTCCCAACTAAAATCCCATCTTGTATAGGAAGCCTTTCCTAGCTACCCCCTCTTAATTCTAGTGCCTACACTCTGTTAATTATTTCCTGCATATAGCTTGTTTATACATACTCCCCCATTAGATAGCGAGCAGCTTGAGGGCAGGGATTGCATCCCCAGAGGTTAACATGATGCCTGGCACATGAGTAAGTGATTAATAAATGTTTATTGACCGATTGACAAGATCTGGAGAGCAACTGTATACTCTCTGTTTGTATGAGTGGCTGCTACTAACCTCTGGCATCTTGTATGTGCCAGATTTCACAATTATCACTTGTTCTCAGGCATCCCCAGCCTAAGATTCAAGTCACATTCTTGCATAATAGCATCATCAGGGCACCTGCTAGGCTGATGGAAGAATGTATAATATTGGAAATGACCAGTTTATAGTGACCTTGCCAGCATCGCTCCAGAGTTGCTGAAGGACATGAAAGAGTGGGAAAGCCAGTCCCGGGTTGGGGGTTTTTTGTTCCCCAAGGCAGAGAGATTGATATGTCATCATCTAGTATACTGATCCTGCACTTTCTTTTTGGATAAGCCTGAAAGAAGCCTGAGGTAGAGTGTTGGTTACAAGCTTTAAGAAGCTGATTCTGGAGGCCAGTGTGGAGCCTCCGTTTACAGCACCACACATGGGCAGTTCTCTAGGTGCTCCATAGGAGGCGTTTCCTCTTCTTACCTGGGTACAGTGGTCAAACCACCATTGTGGTTTGGGAAATCAGAAGGCGTTTTTCCTATTTATTTTTTCAAGGAATTTTGTAAATTAAAGGACATTTTCAACCGTCTTTTTCACTCTTTGGCAGGCATATTTTTTTAAAAAATGAACAAAGTTAGCATTTTTTATTTCTCTCTCAAGGTAAATTGCAACATAACTTGCTCCATATGAGTAGACTAGTAGTTACTTCCAGAGATTCAATAATTACTACTTATTGTCCTTTTCCTTCCTTTCTTGTGTCAACCGTCAGCATTATGGTTCTCTACACACACACACACACACACACACACACACACACACACACACACACACACACACCCATTCTTGTCTCTATCAACCCTAACTATTCCACACCATCACCTTGAGGCCATTTTGGTTTTTTTGGGGGGCGGGAACTATACTATACTGAAAGTAAGTGCCAAAATATGATTTGTGTTAAAAAGTATTTTTCCAGTGACTTTTAAAAACCTTTAATAATAAATTTCCCCCAAAAAGTCTTCATTGCTCCCTCACTGTGTCAGAGAGGGGACGCTGGGTTCTTGAAGGCTAGGCCAGTGGCTTGAGAGGTCTGGAGGATTCTGACATGCTGTAAAGACTTTCGAAATGACCCTGGCCACAGATTTTGTCTGTTTTATGTTTTGGGTTTTTTTTATTTTTAGGCAATTGGGGTTAAGTGGCTTGCCCCGGGTCACACAGCTAGTAAGTGTCAAGTATTTGGTGTGAGGCCAGATTTGAACTCAGATCCTCCTGATTTCAAGGCCAGTGCTCTATCCACTGCGCCACCTAGCTGCCCCATTTTGTCTGTTTTATGAAGACCAGCCTCATTATGCACAAGGAAACTCCTCGCTAGTTGGTTGGTCACTTGACAGTGCATCCTCTAGCCATAGCAATTCATGGGAAAAAGAAAATTACAACCTAGCCTTTCATTCTTCGTGGAGCCATTCCCCTTCTGCAGTGAAGGTGGAAGAAGGGCCTACAAGTCATGTTGTTTCCTGACTCTGTAAACATGTATTCAGCTGTTGGTACTCTCCCGGTCAGAGCCTCGTCCAGGGACCCATAAGTCCCAGCAGCTCGATTAACATCTGTCGGCAGGCTCAGAGGTGGCACACCCCACGGCCTCTTCTCCACCTTCTCCCCTGTCCTGACACTGTCACAGCGGGAACAGAAGTTCAAAGGTGACGAGCTCTTCGTAATGTCACAAAAGTGAAAGGGATTAATATAGTTTAGCAGGCAGCAAATTGCTCGTTACTGATGTAGGAGTCATTCCTGAATCAGCTGTCTGGATGCAGTCAGACCACCAGCTTATCAGAACAAGATTTTGATCTTGCATACAGCTGACATGAAGAATTAAGATGAGAAGGGAAAAAAGCATGTAATTAAAACAATGTCAACCTGTCCTTTTAAAAAACTGATAAAAAAAAAATAGAGTGTGGAAGGCGTAAAGGATGGCAGCACTCATTGTTAACCAATATGAATAATTTATGATAATGAGGAAATCGTCCCAGCCTTAAGTCTGCCTCAGTCAGCCAAGTTTGACTTGCTTCGGTCAGGTTGTAAGTGAGCCTTAGAAGTGGCAGTGGCCTGACTTCTTGTCCTGAGCGGGCTTCTCGGCCCCCAAGGACAGAATGACAAACATGGGGAGAGAAGACAGCAATATCAAAGGAGCTTTGGGAAGGATGGCTTGTCTGTCCATTTTGGGGGGCTCCTGACTTGTGGCCTACAAACTCCTGGGGCTGTCAAGTATTGTAAGGGGTCTGCAGATCCACAGAGCCACCAAACATCTGATCATGTGTTTTCTTATTCGCTGGACACTTAGAATTCAGCTGCCATTGTGAGGGAGTCCATGACATTTTTTTTGATGGCGCCCCATATTTGAAAAGAAGGAAGGCACTGACGTAGGCTGTATTTATTTCTTTGTTCATATTGTCATAGCTTTGTGTTAAAGTCTCCATTTTCACTGCTTTCTCAGTCCCAGAAATGAAGCACTCTTGTGTCCCGCCCCCCCCCAGGTGTTGCCCTGCTGGCCGATGTCTATCCTGAGGAAATCCTTCCATCCCTGCTGGCCCAGTATGGGAGTTGCCCTGGAAAGTGCCCGCCAGAGACCAGGATGAAAGTTGGAGAAGCCCTGATGAGGATTGTCCGAGCTTTAGGTGAGTGGTGTGGATCTTTCAGTTTCTCAAAGAGTGATCTCGGCCGCCAGTGACGCACGGGCAGCCCCTCGCTGGCTCAGGTTTAACCGCAGCCCCACCGACAGATTCCAGAGTCGCCAGAGCTCCCATGGCAGAGGGAGACTCGGATGGTGCTGCGACAGCGTTCGGAGTCCTTGAAAAGCTACTCGGTTTGGAGTTAACCAGCATGATCTCAGGTCCTGGGCTTGCCACCCACTTTGAATTTTAGTTTTTCTGTGTAAGACGGGGCTATGCTACCAGCCTCATGGGGTGACTGTAAGGTTCAGATGAGGTGATGCGTATGTGGGCATTGTAGGCCATGGAGAGAGGCAGCATAAGGTGGGAGAAGGAGAGCTGACTGCAGGCCAGCTGTGTCAGGTCCCACCTCTGAGACTTGCTGGCTGAAGGACCCAGACCAATTAACCTTTCAGTGACCTAGGCAGCTCTCTTAGATGGTAAGTCACAGAGAAGGTGTTGACCTACGTTGGCAAAGGGACTTTCCTTACATGGGAGTTTCATATACCACTAAAATCACAGATCCAGTCCCTATCCTGTACACTGTAAAGCACTCTGTATTGATTCTGGTACCTTGAAAATGGACTGCCACTTTCTTTTGGTGGAATACAAGATATCATCCAGAAAAGGTGTTAGCTAAAGAGGAGGTAAGTTGTGTATTTAGTAAGCGTGTAATAGGTGTTAAGAGGGATTACCAGTGTACAGTCTACATTCACCACTGGTGTCCTATTAATGTTAAGGGAAATTGAAGAAGGCCCTGGGCACATTGAATGGACCTGTAACGGGTTGAGAGGTTCAGACACCCCTCAAAGACCGGAGTACAGGATGGGGTCATCTGGAATGAATTCACAGATTCAAGCATTCTTTAAGTCAAGCTGGTAAAGATTTATTCTTACACTATACAGTGGGCAGGGATTCTTTTTTTTTTTTTAGGCAGTTGGGGTTAAGCGACTTGTCCAGGGTCACACAGCTACTAAGTGTCAAGTGTTTGGTCTGAGGTTGGATTTGAACTCAAGTCCTCCTGACTTCAGGGCTGGTGCTCTATCCACTGCACCACCTAGCTGCCCCTCAGGCAAGGATTCTTAAGGAACCTTCAAGAGACTGAGGGTAGAGCTGGGGTTTATATGGAAAAGGGACATGGGAAAGGAATGCCAGGGATACTAATTAGGTAATCTAAAAGTCCAGGTGTATTTGGGAGCTATGGATGGGAAAGTGTAGGGAATGTACCAGACAGGGAGGGAGATGTCAGAGGATCTTGGGAATCTGGCAGGAGGAAGGGTCCTTGGGCCAGATAAGACACCCCTCTCTCTCTGTGTGCTGATTAGAGAATGCTCTGCAACAAGAGAAAACTTTCTCACAGGATAAGAGCTTACTAAGAAATTGGAAGGCGTCCAGAGACATGATCTTAAGGCTGGTGCCTGAGCAGCCCATCACTCTCTCACCCAGCTTTGTGTAACCATACCAGGGAGAGAGATAAGTGTTTTGCTGGGGCCCACTTATGAGTAGTTGCCAGGCACAGTGTCCTTGGCCTGGGAGAAAACTGGCAGGGGTAGTGTTTCTGAGGCCAGGGAGAAATTGGGGTCCAAGCACAGGCACCCAAGCACCCCATCAGACCCCCATGTTGAACTCAGAGATGTGGTCATGAGTTGTACAAGACAGGCATACGTGGCTGGGTTGCAGTCTGCATTATTGAAAGGAATGAGATCAAGACCCATCTGAGCATTGGTGGGTGTTTGATCAATACTTGTTGGCTTGGTGACTTGCCTTGCATGGCATAACCTTCAAGAACCTAGTCACCATCATAACAACTAAGCCATTGGAAGAAGGCTTGCATAGAGGCAGGCTGCCTAAAGTAATTAAATTGGTGTGTTATTAGTTGTTATCAACCTGAGTCACCCCGGCTTATCTGTGAAAGTTGCTGCATTATGCTTAGCCACCAAGTAAAGCTTGCTGTAGCTTCCCCAGTCATTGAGGTGTGGCACGGGAGGCATTCTTCTGTGTTCCCCCAACCAGCTCCTGGGTGAAGTTTTGGGTATTTTGTTATGTACTGGGGCTGAATGCCAGCCGTCCGTCCTTCTCTTGTATCAGATCAAGTGAGGCATATCCTTCAGCAGTAAACATTTTGACTGAAATATTGACCGGTCCTAATCTTCCAAGTACGGCTATCCCTATCTGTCCCTAGACAGACTAGGCCTTTCAGTTCTATCCCAGCCATCAGACTTTGAATTTTCTTCTTAGGTGTGGCTGTATCTGCCCTTCACTGTACTTTCCTCACGTATCCATTAACATAATACCGAAGACTAAATTAGAAGCAATGATCTCAACGCCAATTTTAATAATTGACCTGTGAGCTGTAGTAAAACTTGTGAATTTTACTGCTTACCCAGGAGAAAACTTTGGAAACACAGATCCTCCTCAACATTTCCACCAGGTTGACCACATTTCAGTCATTCATCTTCTCCTTCAGAAAGCATCTATTAAACACCCACATACCCATCCCTCTCCTTCACTATACCTCTTCTTTCGCCACTTTCACCATCTCTTCAGTCAAGTTTAAGGTCCCTGTGTTTCCAGTTGCCTCTCTGACTGAAGACCACAGTTCTCGGACTCAGAGGGCTATCTATCTATTTATTTATTTATTTATTTATCTATCTATCTATCTATCTATCTATCTATCTATCTATCTATTTATTTATTCATTCGTTCATTCATTTATTTATTTATTTATTTATTTTTAGATTTATTTAAACATTTATTTTTAGTTTTCAACATTCACTTCCACAAGATTTTGAACTCCAGATTTTCTCCCCATCTTGACACTCCCCTCACCCCAAGACAGCATGCATTCTGAGTACCTCTTCCCTCAACCTGCCCTCCCTGCTATCAGCCCCCTCCACCTTCTCTTATCCCCTTCTCCTTCTATTTTCCTTTAGGCAGGATAGATTTTTATACTTCATTGCCTGTATATCTTGTTTCCCAGTTGCATGTAAAAACAATTTTTAACATTTGTTTTTAAAACTTTGGGTTCCAAATTCTCTCCCTTCCTCCCTCCCCACCCACCCTCATTGAGAAGGCAAACAACTTGATACAGGTTATACATGTGTAGTCATGCAAAACACTTCCATAGTAGTCATGTTATGAAAAACTGACCATATTTTCCTTCAGAGAGCAATTTAACCAGGCCTTTCAATCCTGGGAGCATTTAAGTACCTACCAGTAAGTTCAGAGCTCTTTGTTAGGCTGAGGGAAGGGAATGGGCTCCATGCCTCCAGGGCCCAGAAATAGCCTGAAGGGAATCTGTGAAGGAAATGAAAAATAAACCTGCCACTCTTTGAGGAAAGAGCTAAATAAATAAACAGTTTTGTTTTCCTTATTACTAAATTTGGGTCTTAGACACACCACTTGGGTCTTAGACACTGCTTGGACAAGGTGCCAAATGTCAGGGGTTGTTCAATAGTAAGTGTGAATCTTGGGCTCTGAATATAACAAGCTGAATTGTAATTTCTGTCTTTGGCTTGACTGTGTCTCGACACTGTCCACACTGAGGCAGGTGTGTACCCCTCTGGTGAAAATCTCCTCCATTTCTCCCGTGCCCTTAATTAGCCTTCTGCTGCTGGAATGGTTCACAACTAACCAGTTTAGAAGATGCATGAGACTTGTCTCCATTGGGCTGTTGAGGTGGTTCTAAGGGGGGCCTTTAAAGCAGATACTGTAATTAGCAACATTTCCAAAATAGTCTTCTGGCATTTCAAAGCAAATTCCACCAATTCTCAAAGTGTTAATCTTTCTGGGCTCATTCTTCCAAATATCAAACTATAAACACAGCCTGGCTGATGCCAAGGTTTCTAATTCATATTGCCAGCTCCAGGTGCATGGATGGGGTGGCTTGTTTAAATCCTTTAAGTGAAATGAAAGCCTTTTTCTGCAGTGATAACCAGTCTTAGAGCATCTTCCCAGCTCAGTGGTGCAGGGGAAATCCCTGTAATCCCTCAGTGTGATTTTTCAGTATCATCCTTACCTGTACACCCCAGCCTTGCCTTGAACCCTGTATTACTCTTTCTTCCCACCTAGTGAAGAGGGGATGGTCAACAGCTGGTTGGGAGTCGTTGACAGTATACTGCTATCCATCTCCTAACCCATAGGTTACTATCCCTAGACAGACTAGCAAATGAGCAATTCATCGGTCCCTGTCCAAAACAATGGTCCCTCCAATCCATTTAAAACACTGTTCTAATACTGTTGACAGGTATTAGTTGTAACCCTCTGTAGCCTAACCCTGTTCCATTAGGATTTTACTGTATGTAGTAAGATTTCCAGGGACATAATTTGAACTAAATTTATCATTATAGTAAGAAGCTGTTTTATAGCCCAGTTATATTATATTTATGGTTCAAATTAATTTGTCAATGATTTTTTGAGATACAGACTATTATGATGTCTATATGGTTTATTCTTGCTTAAGGACATGTTTAGCTAAAAATCAATCCCAGTGTAGTATCGAATTAACAGTTACTCTAAATCTTTCTCCATCTGTTCCTCTTATGTAGTCTGAGACAGATGTTGATCAGTAACAGCTGCCATGAGGCTTCATGGTTTTGGGTTTGGTTTTGTTTTTTTAAAGAAAAGAAAATGAAATCCTGCCACTAAGCCCAGATTTCCAAAGTGAAAATTTTTCAAAATTGATTTTCCTTTAAAATGCTTATTGGTATCTGTTGGTTTTTTGTCACCTATATATTACAATATATCACACTCTCTTCTCCTTTCCAGAGAACCATCTCATATAAGAATTTTTAAAAGGGGAAAGAAACAGTTCAGAAAAACTAATCAATACATCAGCAAAACCAGGTATTAAAATATGTAATGTACCATACCCATAGTCCTTTGCAAAGAAGAGAGAGATGCCTTCTTATATCTCTTTGGGGCCAGGCTTGGTTATAATTTCATAGTATTCAGGGTTTTTTTTTTTT